CCCCCCCCATTTCAGCTATTATTTTTCAAAGAGGGAAGCAAAAGTCCAAAGTCCACATCGGTTTGCTACTATCCATCTCTTATCAATGGGCAACAACCATCATTTATCATCGCCACTGTACACCATCTCTCAAATCTCTTAGTTTCTTCATCACCAATTTCTTTCATAGGGTTATTATTTACAAAATATTTTTGATGTAGATTTTGTGAAATGCAACTATGGTGGAATGTGGTTGGTGTTCAGCATAATCTTAAAAAGTAAGTTTATTACAGTAAAATCTCTTTTTGGTTGTGTTTTAATTTTTTTTCCAGTTGGAAACAATAGAGGTTGAACAAAGTACACCAGTGCCAGCGATAACTCAAGCACACGGTAAGGATCCTAATATTTCTACAACGCACAATCCTCCAAAAATAAAACAAAATCTACTACTTGTTGTCAAGACTCTAGCCATAGAGAGTGATACGGTAAAATTTGGTAACATTTTACAAAATTTATTGATACAAATGGTGATAAAAAAGGTGAGCTGGGGGCAAAATACAATTACAGTAATAAAGACTTTGCTTTGCTTGTCTTAGTGAGAATGAGACATCTATCCTATGTGCATAGTTAAATATCAAGTGTGACAAAGCCTCTTTTAAATTCATTGACAGGAAGTAGTCAACACTAAAATTAAAACCTATTAAAGAAGGAAACAAGGAGCTTTGAAAAGGGTTGTTTATAATGTTGTTGAGATTAAGAAGGCTATTACTGAATTTGTTATTCTTGATGAAAAACCTATTAAAGAAGGAAGCAGGGAGCTTTGAAAATGGTTGTTTATAATGTTGTTGAGATTAAGAGGGGCTATTACTGAGTTTGTTATTCTTGATGAAAAACCATTTAAAGTTGTTGAGGGAAAATGCTTCAAGAGATTAATGATAGTTGTTTTGCCTAATTATGAGTTACCTTTCTCGTATTACTGGTTGTAGATAGTGTTTGCAGATTTATTTAGAGGAGAAAAAAACACTTAAAAAGACTTATTAAAAATAAACATGTATCTTACTAGTAATATAAGGACATCAATCAAATTTGACTTATATGATCATTACTGCCCATTGGATTGATAATGAATGGAATTTGCCAAAGAAGTTTTTTAATTTTTTTCAAACTCCATACGATAAGTGTGAGACAATTGCTAAGGGAGTTGAGACTTGCTTTGTAGATTGTGGGGTTGAGAACCTATTCACAGTGAACTTAGATGATGTAGATGTTGCAATCAAGCACTTGAAATGGAGGATTAATGATTGGAAGGTATCATCTTGGGAAATGATTTTTTATATAGTTAGGTGTAATGCCCATATTCTAAATTTGATTATAAAAGAAGGATTGAGCGAACAAAATGAATCTATTTCTCGGGTAAAGATTATTGTGAAATTTGTAAGTCTTTTCTTATAAGATCCACTTGCTTTAAATCATATGTTGAGAAAGTCAAACTAGACACTCATGGTCTTTTGAATTTGGATGTTGAGACGAGGTGGAACCCAACATATTTGATGTTAGATGCAACTCTAAAATTTGAAAATGTTTTTTCTAGATGTATTATAATGAACATCAGTGTTGTCAAAGGCGAAAAGCGCAAAAAAACGACAAGGGCTGTTGGGGCTTAAAGCGCAAAGCGCACTCAAAGTGCGGGCTTTAGTGCAAAAAAACGCAATATAACAAATAGTGTACAATATATTTACAGATCACGTAATAAAAACATAAGTGACAAATATATTCAAAATTAGAGCAATGTAGTATTATTTTTATCAATGTAGTTAAATTATGGTGAAAAATATGATAAACTATCAACTAAACAAAACCAACTATTCTACTTCTAAATTCTAATCACTAGCATTATCATATGTATCTAAAATGTCATCATCTTCTTCAATAGGATTACTCTCATTGGTATCACTAGAATTATAGCCTTCAATATCTTCTTCCTCTGATTCCCTAGAATCAACATCATTTATATCTATATTAATACGTCGAACTTGAGAGCTTGAAGCACCGGCTGCCAAAGTTTTTGATGGTCCCCTTTGTCTCATTGAGTATGAGTATGTTTGTGCATCTTCGCTTCCCGATGCTCTAGCCATATCGCCCCAAGTTAAGTCATCATCTCCCTCAAACACCAATTCATTTTCCGCTTCAAAATTTACCCCCATTTCTCCAACCAACCACTCATTACTATGATCAATATGATCAAATGAGATTGGATCAATGATATTCCGCAAGTCAAAGCGAGTTCTTAGAGCACGATTATACTTGACATACACTAGATCATTCAATCTTTTATGCTCTAATCTATTCCTCTTCTTGCTATGGATCTGCACATGAATTATTTTATCTCATTGTTAGTAAAATTGTAAGTTTGTATTAATTAACCAAATAAATTAAAATAACGAATAGTTATATGTAACTAATGTCTAATAAGAACTCACATGTTCAAACACACTCCAATTACGCTCGCAACCAGCTGAACTAGCGGTTAAGCTCAAGATTCTAATGGCTAATTTTTGGAGATGAGGGGCTGAATTTCCATATAGATTCCACCATTCAACTGAAAAAGATATGACTTAGTGGTAAGTAAATATTGAACGTGAAGCCTTGAAGTGTTAATTGTAAACATTGAATTTTCATATACCTGGAGATCTCGTTGCTCTTGATCTTTTTGCCATGGGAAGTCCAAATTGTCCCTCAGCTCTTGTATATAATGGTAACTCAGATGCAATCTTATCTTGAACTTCAATACTTGGAACCAATTTCTGAATACAAGCATATAGTCCATTCGTTACTTCTCTACAATTCTTAATGGCCGGATCTTGATAGAAATACTCGGGAATCAAATAATGTCCAGCATGCAATTGGCATTCCCATCTTTGATCAATGATCTCAAAAACATCTTTGTCAGTGTTGTCAAAGGCGCGCTTAAGCGCACAAGCGAGGCTCCAAATCAGTTCGCCGCTTCGCCACACCTCAAGCGAAGCCCAAGTAGTGAAGCGCCGCTTAAGCGCAGTTTCGGGAAAAGCGCAAGGCTCTTGAAGCGTGGGCTATTTCCAAGATTTTAAAAACATTAAAAATTGGTAACTTTTTCAGAATAGAGAATCATAATTATAATTTATAAAGGAAACGAAATCAAAACCCAACCCAAAAAGATTAGAAATAGGAAGAGGAAAATCAGAATCTTAAACAAAAAAAAAAGGAAGAGAAATCAGAAATCAAAACCCAATCCCCAAAGAAAAGGAAACACCAATGTCTTATAAATAGAGATGCAATCCACTAGAAAAAGATGCAAGAACTGAGAAGAATCTTTATTCAAGTTTTACTGGTAACGAAGAAGAGAAGAAGCAACGTACCAGTAAAACTTGAATAAAGATTCTTCTCAGTTTTTGCGTCTTTTTCTAGTGGATTGCATCTCTATTTATAAGACATTGGTGTTTCCTTTTCTTTGGGGATTGGGTTTTGATTTCTGATTTCTCTTCCTTTTTTTTGTTTAAGATTCTGATTTTCCTTTTCCTATTTCTAATCTTTTTAGGTTGGGTTTTGATTTCGTTTCCTTTTTAAATTATAATTCTGATTCTCTATTCTGAAAAGTTACCAATTTTTAAATGTTTTTAAAATCTTGGAAAAAGACCACGCTTCAAGAGCCTTGCACTTTTCCCGAAACTCCGCTTAAGCGACGCTTCACTACTTGGGTTTCGCTTGAGGTGCGACGAACTGATTTGGAGCCTCGCTTGTGCGCTTAGGCGCGCATTTGACAACACTGATGAACATAAGTATTTTAGGTATTGTCTAGAATTGAGGGGAATGACAAAGCATCCATCTTCAGATGATTGGCAGAATGTGAAGGTCTTTATCAAGTCTCTTGAAAATTTTAGAGCCATATCTAGCATCAAATATGTTGAGTTCCATCTTGTCTCAACATCCAACCTGAAATGGCCATGAGTGTCTAGTTTGACCTTCTCAACTAATGATTTAAAGGAAGCTGACCTTGTAGGAGAAGACTTTAGCATATTTCACAGCTATCCTTACCTAAGAAATAGACTCATTTTGCTCACCCAACCCTTCTTTTACAATTACATCTAGAATATGAGCATTACACCTTACATGTAAAATATCATTTCCCAAGAAGACGCCTTTCCCATCATTAATCCTTCCTTTCAAGTGCTTGATTACATCATCATTAGTTATTGCATTATCTGGCGTCACTTTAAATAGGCTCTCAATCCCCAATCTAAACAATAAGCCTCAATTCCCTTAGCAATTGTCTCACCCTTATATTCTTGAGTTTGAAAAAAATTAATAATTTTCATTTGCAAATTCCATTAATCATCAATCCAATGGACACTAATGACCTTATAAGTCAAATTTTGGATTGATGTTCTTGTATCACTAGTAAGACACGCCTTGATCTTAATCAGTATTGGCAAAGCGCTAAAGGTCTATTGGGGCTTTAAGTGCAAAGCGCAATTTAAGTCTGGGTTTTAGTAAAAAAGGCGTAATGAAGCAAAAAAGATAAAAATATCTATGTTATTCAAGAAAAAGTAGTAAAGTCATTCATAATGTTTTTTTCCTTAAAACAAGTACACTTATTTGACGATTATATGTGTTATTTAGTACTGTTCGATTCAAGATAGAACTTATGGGCAGTGAGGTACCCGCCTTAGTTACTTGACTACATCAAAGCACAACTTTAGTGAGGCGAAGCACCCTCCCTAAGCTTTTCAGGGCTTAAGCGCGCCTTAAATGAGTATTTGACAACACCGATCTTAATAAGCATTTTAAGCTTTTAGTTTTCCTCTAGATAAATCTTCAAACAATGCCTAGCAACAATAATGCAAGAAGGTAACTCATAGTTAGGCAAAACAACTGCCATAATCTTTTAAAACATTCCTCCCTCAAGACTTTAAATGATTGTTCAAGAATCACAAATTCAACAATGGTCCTCCTAACCTCAGTAACATTATAAACAACCCTATCCACAACTTCTTTTTCCCCTCCATTAATAGGTTTAAGTTTTAGTGTTGACAACTTCCTATAAGTGAATTTGAGATGGGATTGCCGCAATTGCTATTTAAATGTGTGCATAGCTTTGAAGTCTCATTCTTACCAAGGCAAGCAAAGTCTTTACTGTAGTAATTGTATTTTACCCTCAGTTCATCCTTTTTATCAATTGATTTTGAAAAGTATTGCCAA